CTATAACGGGCAGCAGCGGCGGGCGGCACGTCGAAACGGCCGCTTTGAAATTGCTCGGGCCTGTGTGAAACCCGCCACCCCAAAAACCTGCAGTGTCTTGTGTACGGACCTCTACGCCCTGTCCGGTTGGGTGAAATGAGACTGAAAAATCACCCCGTTATTTTTCGAGGGGCGGCCAGGACCCGATAAACGCCCTGCGCCACCCCGTTTTTTTTTTCAAATTTTGCCTTGGGGACCTCCATCTGGACATAAGGACCGGTCCGGACTGTCTGGAACCCGGTCGGGACGTCCGGGCGGTTACCATGGCAAATACCCTTTTCTCTATATTGTCATGGTATGCTTTTTGCTTTTCCTCCCTGGCCTCTGAGCTTCTCCTTTGCCTGTTTTCCCAACCTCCCTTACCTCGGAAGGCTGGAGGACTACTGCAGGTTCACATACTGTATCACAATGCTTGTGACATTGCAGAGCGCAGTCTCAAAATTTTGCATATGATCATGGTTGCATACCCCGACAGTCGGCGGCCCTTGACTGGTAGGATGCTGAACAGACGACCGGTTGGCTGGTCAGCACCTACCGGTCGGGGTTCGTCGGCACCCCGCAAAAAAGAAAAAAAAAAGGAAAGTATTTTTTGGTTTTGGGTCCCGACCCCCTAATGACTCCACCAACAAGAAACGGTGTTGGGGCAGTGGTTTCAGAATGCACAATGGGCAGTGGGGGGGTGGAAATGAAATGCAACTGGGATGTTACGGGCCCTGTCATGAGCCCCCACCTGTATGGGGCTTATCCACAGCTGGTAGGAATGAATGAGGCCGTTAAGAGTACGAGTGGTTTAGTCTGGCGGGACCGACGATGTATACCGTGGCTGATTGAATGGCACACGTTAAGAACTGTCGGTTCTGTGTGCTTAAACCACCACTGCCCTAACAATGTGCCCGTGCATGTGGAGCGGCAGAAATTTTGAGGTGGCGTGCAGGATGAAAAATTGTGCTAGACTCTCTGATCTTACCCCCTGAAAGTCTCACTCCCGGTGGTGATCGTATGTCCCATCCCTTCCCCACACACCTTAACTCCACCCTCTTGGATACACCCCCACACCTCTTAAGATCAGGCTCTCTAACCGCACTACATATTTTCTCTTATATGTGTATTATATTAATATATTCCCAATCCTTTTCCTACTCCTACGCTTCCATATTGGCGCAGTACTGTACAATCAGTTGCATGGTTTCCATTTTGTTGGGATTTATTAAATTATTTTGCATCATTTTCACAGCCTTTAAACCCCTCGGTGGGCTACACCTAACAACGCTAAGAGAGAGCTAACCTTGAGGGATTTACCAGAAGGAGAAAAATGATGCAAAAATAAACTGGAAAAAACTTCAAAAAAGATTGGAATGCATGAAACAGATTGTACACTATCACGCCAATATAGCAGTGTAGGATCAGAAAAAAACTGGGAGGATTATAAAAGGGGAAACATATAGTGAGGTTAGAGAACCTGATCTTGAGAGGAGGGGGGGGGGGGGGGGGGGGGGGGGGGGGGGGGGGGGGGGGGGGGGTGTCTGTCCCAGAGTGTGGAGTTAGGGGGCGCGGGGAAGAGGTGGGATATACGATCACCACCGGGCGTAGGACCTTCAGTGGATAAGATCAGAGAGTGTGGTACTGGCTTGGACTGTGGTGTCACTGGCCTCCGCCTGCTGTGGTAAGTGCGGATCATTGGCTCCCATGTGGGGCCTGCTGTCCTGATGGCCCTGCAATAAGGACCCCCTAAGCCATCTCCAACCTGGACAACCTTTTTATTAAAAAAAAAAGGAAAAATTTAAAATTGTGCAGACCAGCCAGCTTGGAATTGACAGTTGCATGCAGCCTCGTCACGGATGCATGCAGCCTCGTCATGGATTATCAACTCGGTAGGGGGCAGTGGCACTTTCAGAAATCTTCCCTGCAGATAGGCAACAATGATAGGGACTACCCTCCTTCTTTTTGCTTACATCAGGAATGAAAATCAAGGTGATTAAGCTCAAGGGTTAGGGTACAGTAGGACGTGGCTGTAATACCACTGTATGCAGATTGGGACCTGGACAGAAGGGATCGAGCTGAAATTTGAGAGGATTGGTATCTGGGCTCAGCAGTTGGGAGGTTTGATTTGCTGTGGAGTTGCGTGTAGCTTGCGCTCGAATTTGTCGTGCACCTTCTGTCCCGTACTCTTTTGTTGGGTGAAATCACTGATATGCCTCCAGCCTTACGCCTGTGTGCTAAGTTGCTAAACTTGTTGTGGTGCCTTTTTTTTCTGTTTTTTTTTGCAGATTCGGAGATCAAACGGCCGGAAATGGAAGGGTTGATCAGCAAGATGGAGGTAACTTTCTGCTGTTCAGTATTAAAAAAGTGCATGCGTTTGTTTTTATCATTTGCAGCAAGCCCACTTAGCAGAGCGCAGCGATGCCAATCAATCCTTAAACCACCAGCAGCGGGCACGTGATTTTCACCTGAAGAGAATTTTGCAGATCCTGTATTCTTTATAAAAATACATTGCCAGGAGGCTATCAAGAGCAAGCCTAGTAACATGACTCCTGGAAAGTCGCAAAGCGCTCTTGACATCAAGTATGTAGCAAACCAGCTGGAGGCAGGCCGGTTTCATCTTTTTTGGCTGGCGCCACCAGCCATTTTGGTCCTGTAACTCCGACCCTGTGAAACTGTCATACATATATGTTCTCACAGACTCGATTCACACAGGACACATAATGCTGGTTTAAGAAAGCAATAGAACAGCAGACACACAAGTATGGACATAGAGAGCACACTCGGCAAAGCCGTCCAGGAGAGATGGTTAACGGAGGCCTTAACCACTTGTGCCGTCCGCTGTTGTGTCTGCTGCTAGTGGTATGATTGTGCCCTGCGTGCGAGTGCAATCATATGAGTACAAACAAAAGGACAGAACCCAACGTGTCGCCAGGATTTGTGCCCCCATCTGCCGTTTCCCGCCGTATGGTCAAACCCATTCATCGTTAAATGCAGTTAGCTTCCAGTCCTCGCAACCAGTACCCGTAATATCCTTGATAAACAACCAGGCCCTGCTCGAGCCCTGGGTACCTACCTACCCAGGTCACAGCACAACATCATACAGACTTAGTCTAACTTGCTCAATTCTAGAGACAATGGTTCAAGCTCTCCCTACGCCAAGATACTGGACCTGACCTGGACCATTCTTTGGACCCTGGTACCCTGCTCCTATCTTGAAACAACCCGGTAGGACTTTGGAAACTATGGACCTAGCCCTGGTTCCTATGCAGTAGAGGCATTGATTGCTTCCGAATGGAAGAGTTAACCGCACTTCCTACTTCTACCCCACTTCATTTCATGCCTCACTGCTAATCTCTTTCTCGTCTCGGGCGTATCCCAAGTCGTAGCCAACCATTCTGTTTTTTTCACTCTTCACCCTTGTCACGTGAAAATTTTATTATCTCTCGGTCAAAGAAATGGTCCGGGTAGTTTTCTCTGCCGGATCTCCATCTTCACCTGAACAACTGAACTTACCATCCGACGATCTGGAACTGAATCCGCAACAATCCTGTGCAGAGCACTGACAATCACAGTGAACTTGGCCTTCTTGCACGTCCAGGACTCAAAAGAGTCAAAAGACTCAAAACTCTTGCAACACACCAAACGTCAAGGCTTTACCCCTCTGCAGGTGGTTTAAGTCAAGCCAATCTTTAATGGAACCAGCAAACAACAACAATAATATTATAGATTCATAATATATTGGTATGAAGGCTGGTCCCCGGGTGCTGCGGACTGGCTCTGCCCAGGTACCACCTGGAGGCCTGGCTGGGCAGGGTCCCAACAGGGTCCCAGTCAGTCCTGGCACACAATATGTAAAACCAAAAAAAGAAAAAAAGTTGGAAGTTCTGTAAGAAACATAGGTTGTGGGGCTGATCCGGGGGCGGCCCGGACTGGCTCTGCCTGCCCAGGTACCTTGCAGGGGGGCTGGCTGGGCGAGGTCTCAGCGAGGTCCCGGGCACTCCCAGCGCACAATATTTAACACAGCCAAAAATGGAAATAAATAAATAAAATTTCTCTTTAATTCTGTAAAAAACATATGTTGTGTAAAACTGCAATACAAGCCACTTTTCACTGAGGGTCTCCTCGTAGTTCCGTACTAATCTCAAGAAGAAAATTAAATAGGGAAAAAGAGGTATGGCCGTTCAACCCTAAGCCCTGTTTATACCCCCCAACCCGCTTTGGTGACCCATCACCGAATTGGAAGGTAAGGCTGGATTCTGACTGCTCAGAGGAAGAGAATCTTGCTGGGCAAGTGTTCACTGGGCTGCCGGCCTAGGTGTCCCTGGCTGGGCAGCCACCCAGCAGTGATTCATATACAATATGAATTGAATAAACAATTGCATCAAACGAAAGATTCATTACATGGTCTGCCACCCCCTTGTGTGTAGCACTGCACTCAAGTATCAAAAGAGAAAAGACCAGGTGTCATTGAGTTTCTCTCCCATCCTCCTTAGTGTCTTCTACCCCAATTTCCATTTCTCATTAACCCTGGCTATGGCAAACCCTCGTCTCCAATGAGGAAGCATTTCTCTAGCCTCGTCAACACTAAGTCAGTCTAGCCTCCCTCCTCGCCAGACTTCCCAGTGGTGCGCCAGAAGGATGGGAAGTCTTGATTGAAGACTGCTGATCCCTCCCTTGCAGTTTTGGAGTGTTCTTCTTAAATGTGGATATGGCTACCAGTCACCAGGTAAGCTTCCTCGATCCTCAGGGCTCTTCTCTCTCTCTCTCTCATGTCTCTAGCCGCCACCCTTGTACTCTACCCTCCCCCTATCTCTGATAGCTATGACTGTGGTCCAAGCACTCTCTCTTCACTTGCCTGTCTTTGCTGGCAGCAGGGCAGAATGGGGCATTACTCCCGTGTTGGGCCATGCGGGTTGTCTGGAATAAGTTCTGTTGGGCTTGGAAGTTTGTGTCTTACGCTTGCACCTGCGTTCCAAACCAACAAAATGTTATCCGTTAGATAAAGCTGTGCGTACTGTGACCATAAGGATGCATGAACAACCCCTAAAAAATAAAAATAAAAAAAATCCAAGCCAATGCTGGCGAGACAATTGTCCTTGTATTCTCTTCAATGGCATTGTTGTAACGGTTGTATGGATGAAGGCGAGGTGAAAAAAAAAAGGGAAACTGGACAGGCAAGAGAAATCGATGAAAACTGAAAAGTAACGACTTCTCATCTGGCATCCTCTAGATGGGATGTGGGGTATGAATACTATGAAGTCAGTCTAAGGGGGTGTCCTCACACTTGTGCTTTGCTGGACGTATCTGACCGTGGTGACCGCCAGATTTACTTGGGAAAATGTATGTGTGTGAGTATGTCCTAAGACTTTTGCCTGTACTGTTTGGCGATTTACAGTGTGGTCTCTTCATCTCTGGCAATGATAAAAAATTACAATGCATTGGTTTCTCTTCATGGCTGGGTACGTCCGAACAATTGTTTGGTGCTTTCACTGCTTTGCATGTTGCTGTGCTTTGTTTCAAACAATTAAATGTCTGGGTTCTAGGTTTCAAGCCAATAAATAAATGTTTTTGTGCCACTTTGTGTTTTTTTCTGCTTGTGATGTGATGGGTGTGGCATCTGTGGATAGGCTCAAGAAAGTAAAAAGGCACATGTGGAGACTCGGTTAGAAGCACCGAATGGTAAGTCTGCGCTGCCCTTTTTTCCTGTCCCCTGCCTGTGATTAAGGTAGCACCGCTGCCGGCCGGTGACCCCCAACTGGTCTCCTTCTCGTCGGTTTGTTCATCCCCTCCCCGGTGCAACTCTATGAATGCCTTGTGTTGAGGCTGTCCTGTCTGTTCTGGGGGACAAAGGCCTTGACGCCCGATTGGTCAGGACTCGGGAGTCTGTTTGTTCATCCCCTCCCTGGTGAAACTGTATGTCCTGTCTGTTCTGGGCGACGGAAGGCCTTGGAGGCTCCTGCTTGAGCCTGTGTGAAATCACGGTCAAGTTTCCCACTTCTTGTCCGGTATTGCAGGGGTCAATAGTAGTACACCAAGGAAAACACTGGAAGGTACTGGACGTTGACATTCCAAAAGCAAACAGGCCGTGGGCAACCAGTACCGGGTCCCAGTCAAGCCAAGAGAAGCCGAGGCTGGGACGAGTCAAGGGCCAGTCAAAGTCAATATAGGGACCGCCCGGCCACATTTCGGGCACATTGCTCTTTCGTGAGAAAGTGGAAGCGCTGCTGGTGCGTGTGCGCTATCAAGAGTGGCTGAGCGCTAAAGGCCCTGCTGGGCAGTGCTCTTCTTAGGCAGGCAGGCGCCCATAGCCGCATGTTAGTAGTAGTCGTAGAGTGTGAGTAGTAAGCGGATGTATAGTTGATGTTCA